AACTTGTTCTGATCATTCTTATTCCAGTAATTCATCGAGTGTTAATCGTCTTTTGAACGGATAATGCATTTTTAAACACGTGAGAAATATTTAAATATGAGTTAGCAAGATAGCTAATTATACATCATATAAATTTATTTTAGTTTTTTTATTCCTTTTACAACTCACGAGGTCATCACAAATTCAATTATGTGTGAAAGTAAATTGGTTTCTTGAGAGGGGTAAATTACCACTCACATGACTCTCAGTTGCTAAATTCATGAAAAAGTTTGATGAAATCAAGTTGCAGATGCATCTATTCCATAACAACAAATTAGGGGATCGATTTGTTACTAACAATAATTGGTTACCACTTGAGCGCTCGATCCAGCAAAAAAAAAAAATTCGTGAAGTTATATGTGTTGATCAAACTGCAAAAATACTGGTCTGGAGATTTAGACCAAAAGAACTGCTAAAAATGAAAAGGAGCAAATATTAATCCAATGGGATCAAAATATTTGTGATTCTCTATACGTTTTGATCAAAAGGTTACCCAATTGAAATTCTTTAGAGAGACAAACCTTAGATTTCGTACACCCCACCAAAAACAGAGCAAGAACTGTTGTGGAAAATCTATTGAGCCCATCATACCAGATTGTATGGCGTCCAGAAATATACCAAAATCAAAGGGTGTTGCATTTGGGGGATTTATAGGGCATAGAGAATGAAGTGTGATATTTCTGAATTTGTTATTGTCTTAACAATCCGAAGTACCAAGTTCACACCCATTTTTCACTTCGACAAGTACATTGCCAGCAATCTCTCTCTCTTTGAAAAGAAAAAAAAAGTACCAAAGAGCTTCAAATAGCTAAACATCCAACAAATTAATTAACTTAAATTAAATGAAACTCATGGAATGGAATACTAAAAAAGAACTTCACTAAAACTAAGTTTGAAACTTACGCGACTAGCAAGGATGAATAAAAAGAATACAAAAACACAGTTATCCCATTGTCCTAACTTCTTAGAAAACTATCTTAATGAGAGGTCCTTTAATAAACTTCGCACATGATCTCTGAAATCTCAAAGACGGCCCTGTGTCCTTGGCAAGCCCTTGACGTTCTTCCGCAGTTGGTGAATACGAAGAAACGGTGGCACAAATTGGAGCACAAGAAGAAAGTTCAGAACATCCGTAGCGGCCTGGTTCCCCTCATTTCTGCAAAGATTATGAGAAAGACAACTGCACACACTTACGATGCTTACAACCAGCAATTAATCTAATCATCGTGTGAAAAATATTGAATCAGTTCGAATATAATTAACCTATCTTAATTTATGATTAATGTGTTGGAAAAATTGAGGTCTAATTGCTATATTAAATTACATAGAAAATCAACAAATAATTCATGCAATTATATATCAAATTAATGCATGACATAGTAACCGATGTTAAATGAACATGACATAATGGATTAGAAAAATCTGAAAATTTGATCAAGACAAGTGTTAGACACTTTGTCATTAAGACAAATTTACGCCTCACTATGGTGCTCATGGTTGATCACCGCTTGTCTCCCAAGACACAACGACCACGTCCTTGTAATAGTAGCACTCCAAATCACAATGCTTAATGAACCACGATTGTGTTGAAAACTCTCTCATATGGACTCGATGAGACTCTCTAATATTTAGTGCACTCTGTATGATTATGTAAAGAATGAGAGTGATCTTATGTTTATAGGGGACTTTCCTATTTATAGAATTTGAGATGCCTTTTTGGAAAGTATATGACAATTCATGAAGAGTCAAAAGTTGCAACTCTTTATTAGAATAGACACATATCTCCACCAAAAAGCATTACTTATAATTTCCATTCAATTAATTAATTTAATATAATAATATTATTATTAAATTTTCCAACATAATGTACACTTATTTAAAGCAACATCTTGGTTAAATGATATGCTCAGGAGTTAGGAATAACCTCCAGAGAGAGAGAGATAGAGGCTTATCTTGTAGAATAGGAACAACTGCTAAAACATCAGTTGGTATGTATGACCGCCAAATCATCTCAGCAGTTTGTTTTAACTGATATATCTCTCCTTTCCCAAAGACCGAAAGGGGCCCCAACTTTCAGGTCCCACTGCGTAGTTTAAGAACTTGAAGAAGAATATAAAAGAGATGCATGATCGCTCTCAAGCTAAGAGCTACTTTCATAAACATTTTGTACAATCTGATGCACTTCGTGACGCAGCACGAAGCCAACAAGGATTACAAGTGTAATTTCTTGAAGAACAAAGTTCTAGAGTCAACCAGTTTAGAGAGAAATTCCAAAGGTTGTATTTGATTAAAGATTGAGTTGATGATTACAACTCTCTGAGACAACGCGACACTAGTAGAAAAACATGTTTGTGCGACGAAGCAAATTTTGTCGCGCAAAGTATGTTTGCGCGACGCAAAACACAAAACGTCGCGCAAAAGACCTTTGCGCGACGAAGGCTGGTGTCGCGCAAAATAGCTTTGCGCGACGCAGATACATTTGGGTCGCTTGAGCGACGCCAGATTTCGTCGCGCAAAGTGCCGTCGCGCAAAGGTCTTTTGCGCGACGTTTTATGCGTCACGCAAGATTTTGGCGGCAAAACATGAATGCTTTACCACTTTTTTCCTATTTTTAATTTATTTATTTTGTACTCATAAGCAAAAGGGCAGAAAGAAAAAAAAAACACATTTTTTTTTTCTTTTGGGTTTCTTCCATTGCATTTTTCTCTTGTGGTATCCACTTGTGTAAATATTTTAAATTGACAATCGAATTAGTTCATTGTATTCATGTAGGTTTAAAGAGTGTAGCTGTAAAAAATCATCAAAATCAAAGTTAAAATGACCGTTAAATCGTGATTTTTCGTTTATACCCGTCGAAAAGGTTTGTCCCATTACATAATCTCTGAATATTTGTTTTTTGCGATTTTTGGCGTATGTGATCTCGAAGCATATATAAACAAGTTTTACGGTTGGATCGTTAAAACTAGTTTCATACAATGCGTATCCCATCAAAACAATAGATTCACCAACACTTGGAGTTTATTTATACTTTCATTAAGTATAACATAAGATTTTGTAGTATCCATTTGTTTAAATATTTTAAATTGATGATCAAATTAGTTTATTGAATAAAATCATCAAAATCGGAGTTAAAATAACCATTAAATCGTGATTTTTCGTTTATACCCGTCGAAAAGGTTTGCCTCGTTACTTGATATCTGAATGTTTTTTTTTTTTGCAATTTTTGGCGTATGCGATCTCGAAGCATATACAAACAAGTTTGACAGTTAGATCGTTGAAACTAGTTTCGTACAATGAGTTTCCCATCAAAACGATAGATTTACTAACACTTAGAGTTTATTTATACTTTCATTAAGTATAACATAAGATTTTGTAGTATCCACTTGTGTAAATATTTTAAATTGACGATTGAATCCATTCGTTGTATTCATATAGTGTGACATCCCACATCGCCCAGGGGAATGATCCTTAAATGTATATTCCCATTCCTACCTAGCACGAGGCCTTTTGGGAGCTCACTGGCTTCGGGTTCCGTAGGAACTCCGAAGTTAAGCGAGAAGGGGCTTGAGCAATCCCATGATGGGTGACCCACTGGGAAGTTGCTCGTGAGTTCCCAAAAACAAAACCGTGAGGGAATGGTAAGCCCAAAGCGGACAATATCGTGCTACGGTGGTGGAGCAGGCCCGGGAAGTGGTCCTACCCGGGCCGGGATGTGACATATAGGGTCAAGGAGTGTAGCTGTAAAAAATCATCAAAATCAGAGTTAAAATAATCGTTAAATCGTGATTTTTCATTTATAACCGTCGAAAAGTTTTGTCTTATTACTTGATCTTTGAATGTTTTTTTTTTTTTTGTGATTTTTGGTGTGTACGATCTCAAAGTATATCCTAACAAATTTGACGGTTGGATTGTGAAAACTAATTTCGTACAATGTGTTTCCTATTTTTAATTTATTTATTTTGTACTCATAAGGAAAAGGGCAGGAAAAAAAAAACACAACTTTGCGTGACGTAGGTACAACTGCGTCGCACAAAGCTGTTTTGAGCGACGTAGTTGTACCTACGTCGCGCAAAGTTGTGTGTGTTTTTTTATTTTTTATTTTTTTTATTTTTGGCCTTTTATTTAGTTTTTTCTTTTTTGTTCGAACATCTTGTATGTACATTTTATATATTTTATAATTAAATACTTTTGCTTGGTTAATTCATTATTGTTTAGAATTTAATTACAATATTTATTAAAAATTAAAAAAAATATTTTTGACGAAAACAAAGAAAAAGGGTTTGCGCGACGCATGCCCACATCGCACAAAGACACTAAGCCACTTTGCTCGACGAATATCCTATGTTGTGCAAAGCCACCTATTCCACTTTGTGCGACGCAGTCCTAGGTCGCGCAAAGCCACTTTGCGTGACGCACATCCTCTGTCGCGCAAAGCCACTTTGCGCGACCTAGGACTGCGTCGCGCAAAGTGGCTTTGCGCGACGCACGTTACTTCTTCGTCGCGCAAACCCTACTGTCACTGCCTTGGCGCGACGGTTATCGCGCGACGAAGTTTCGTCGCGCAAACCCTTAGGCAACGATTTTTTACTTTGCGCGACGAAGGTACCTACGTCGCGCAAAGTGTTTTTTCTACTAGTGCGAAGCGCTAAACGAAAGCAAACGTTACTAATTAGACGACAAACAAAAAATCCAATTTCTATTACTGAACTTAAAACGCTGTTTTGGAAGCCTAAACGATCTCAAATGTCTAAAATCTATCATATATCACGACAAAGCAGTGTGTTTGAACCACGGTGCCGATCCTTTGACTTAAGTCTATCCATGTCCTCTTCAATCCACTCACCCATTTGTTCTACATCACTTCATATCCTCGTTGATCATGGCCTTGTTGCTAGCCACTCTTTACTTGGTTGGCAGAATTATCCTCCGTAGCCGCTGGATTCAAATCTGGACCGCTGGCTCGACAAAACACACAAGAACATAAATTTCCACTCATCAAAAGAAAAAAATATCAATGGATACACAGACATACATATAAATATTAAGATTAGGAAGATATCTCTTCCGCGTGGGACTTCATACTCGCTGAACTATTGACAGACCCGGAGGAGCTTGTTGAAGTATAAACTTAATGATCCGATTGATATGGTTGTCTCCTTCAAGATGTTGAAGCGTACAAACATCAGTGATACCTCAATCCCTCGGATTCGGAAGCTTTCGAAGAGTGGAAATTTGCAACCAAGAATCCGCTTTTAAACAAAACAAGAGATGGAAGTTCATATGAAGTATTAAGTTGTTTCGGGGAAGTTGACGTTCATAAGTTGTTTAGGAAATATTAAGGATGCAGAATTCATAAATTTGCATTGCTCATTGACATTGTACAGCTGAACATACTCGACAATCTCAAAGTTAAACCTTTTGGTTGCTTCTTTTGCACCTTGTTTGGTTGTGTTTGTTTTCATTCCCTGAGGCAAAAGCCAATAACTTGAACGGTTTTATCAACAAACTCCAACAAGAACATAATCTTTCGACACAAATGAAGCATTATGACCTCGAAAAAATGACGCAAATGACGCCTTGTGCAAAAGATGAGAAGCAACCGGACTCATCCTTTCTCCGGGAGACGGTGAGAACATCTGAGCATACGGCAAGAAACAATGATAGATTGTCAAGGAATGCCAAGTTTCTGTACAAACACGAACACAACATATATAGGAACTGCATAATCACACCCGAATACGAAATGAAACAAAACATTCAGATTTTTAAGCAGATGCAATACATTCATCCTACAAGATCTGGCACAAAGAGAAAACTAAGTGTCCTATTCATGTAAAGATGGAAAGCTATCTTCTTATGTTCATTCGGTTCATATATTGATTACAGCCAAGAACCCTCATGATGAGCGAAAAAGAAATACAAAGAACAAAAAGCATAAGAACTTACAGAGACAGTTGACACCAAATTCAATTATTCTATGAAATGTACCCTCTTTATGCAAAGGATTTTCACACTCGTTTTCTCCTCCTACACTCTTCTCCCGAATCCTCTTGTTGATTCTCCCTTACTTATTGAATCCAACAGCTAGAGGAAAATAAAAGAGGAGGGCGTGCAGAGGGAGAAGAGGGACTGCGGCAATGTGCAGCGTGAAGTTGTAATGTGCAGCATGTTCATAGAGAGCGTAAGTTTGCAGCTGACGGGTTAAACAAATTGGGTTTAAATAGCGAGTTGGAGTTTCTGCGGAACCTCCTCCCTGTGTAGTTCAAACTTTTCGGATGACTGCTCTGGAGTCACTACAGTTAAATTAGTTGTTTCTTTTTCTTCTTCCATGTTACCCAAAAAAAAAAGAAAGAGGGATTGCGGAAATCACATGAAACCCTACGAAAATCAGTTTAAAGTTCTACAAAAGTCAATGTTCAATTGGGAAGAACTAGTAAAAACCCCAAAGAAGCAAAATTTCAAACCTCATTTTCTCAAAAAATAAAAATCAAATAAAATTAAACAATTAAAATTGTGGAAACCTCACATGAAAGTCCTTGGAAATCATATCATCATGAAGTGAAACATGGTTTCTGCAATTACGGCAGCTGTACAATCTAGGCTCTACCAAATCCGCCATTAACAAACAAATTCACAGCTCTAAACACCTCTCCCTGCTCGGCAACCAGAGAAAAAAAAAAGCAAAAGAGAGAAAATTTACACACAGGAGAGTAAATTTAATTACCTGCAATAAAATATAAGATTACCAACCGAGTTAGCGTGCGAGATTCCAAAAGTAAAACATTAAATTTTGAAAAATTGGGTTTTGAAAGAGACAGGATTTGCATTTAAGGGTAAGCAACAAGAACACTGAGAGGATAAAGATTAACAAACCCAGATTAAAAAATGATTAAATAGGTGATTAGCAAGGGGGAAGTTGGAGTCTTTAAAGTGAAATTCATGGGATATAATAAAATAAGATAAAAACCCATTAATTAATTGGGTATGAATATGGGAAGCGATAAGGATCTGACCTGTTTAACCAGTCACTAATTGTGATTAAAAAATGGTGAGAGAGTTGGGAAATTGCTTTCTTCTTTACATGTAGAATTGAATCAATTGATTAGTAGCTGCAAGCAAAGTTGGGAAATTGAAGGAGAAGAAAAGCACCAACCTTTTAACGGAGGATGACAGAGAGACTTGAGGGCTGAGGGGGGAGAGAGAGAGAGAGAGAGAATTTTCTGCAATATTTCGAGTACGATGGGCTTGGTTGAGTTACAAAGAGCAGAGTTACGCGCGCTCCGATAGAGAGGCTTAACACGCGCATGCGTAACCGCGCTGCAGGAATTTACGTTTTTAAGCGTTGAATAACATGTAGCGTACTGTCCCGTATTTCAGGCATATTAAAAAGTTTCTTTTGGTACTTTGCTAGTGTAAACAAAGTAGCCCCAAGTTTCTCCCAAGTGTCAAGTGCTATACCAATAACATGTAGTGTATTATTCCGTGTTTCAGACACAGTGAAAAATTTCTTCAGTACTTTGCTAGTGTAAACAAAGTAGCGCCTAGTTTACTCCAAGTGTCAACTGCCATATCAAGGGAGGGAGCACTAATATAAAACATAGACGTCAAGATGAGGATGTCTCAAATTACAAAAATTTTAAAGTGCTTAGAAATTTTTATCGTTAAATTATAGTTATTTGCTTTTGATCGAGGACTTAATGGGAAAAAAAAAATTGGAGGAGTTTTTCATATTCAAAACAATATAATCTTGACGTAATTTTATTTGTGTGTCAGTAATTTCAAGCAGTGTTTTAACTAGTCAACAGTATTAACAAGGTACATTTTGCTGGAAATGTTGAAAATATATGGAGAACATGTCGTCATTAGCACATTTTGATGGTAACAACACATTATTAACGACAAATTGATATAAAGAACGACTGTTGTTTCATAGTCGGACTAATTTAAAGATGTTTCTTTGACCATTATATCTACAGATGAAGCCCCGGGAAGCAAAACACCGATAAGGAAAGTACGAAAGCAAAGAACCTTACCGCAAGAAACAATGATAGATTGTCAAGGAATGCCGAGTTTCTGTACAAACACGAACACTAAATATATAGGAACTGCGTATTGGTACACTTAACACAGAAATCGGAACAAATGGCAGGACCCTTTGCTACCAATCTTCCTTCACAATTTTGGACTTCTCAAATATAAACTTCCCTTCTTTGTACTTCTGCAATGCCTCATAAGCTCGTTCGTACTTCCAGCCCAACACCTCACGGCAATCACCACAGTGGATATCAGCAACAGTATGCAGACCGGTTAAGAGACGTCTGTCTTCTTTTGCCCCAACAACAACATTCATTGCGTGGGAGAACAGAAATGCTCGGCCATGTTTTCCCTGTAAACAAATTGTTGGAAAACAACGTTGGACCAAAAATAATATGCCCGCATAGTCTTATCACACCCGAATATGAATTAAAACAAAACATTCAGATTTTGTAAGCAGATGCAATACATTCATCTTACAAGATCTGGCACAAAGAGCAAACTAAGTGTCCTGTTCATGTAAAGAGAATGAAAGTTATCTTCTTATGCTCATTCGGTTCATATATTGATTACAGCCAAGAACCCTCATGATTAGCAACAAAGAAATACAAGAAGCATAAGAACCTACAGAGACAGTTGACATACCAATCTCAATTATTCTATGAAATGTACCCTCTTTGTGCAAAGGATAGTGATTTTCACACTCGTTTTCTCCTCCTACACTCTTCTCCCGGATCCTATTATTGATTCTCCCTTACTTATTCAATCCAACAGCTAGAGGAAAAAAAAAAATAGGAGGGTGTGCAGACGGAGAAGAGGGACTGCGGTAATGTCCAGCATGAAGTGAAACATGAAGTTGTAATGTGCAACATGTTCATAGAGCGCGTAATTTTGCAACATGTTAATAAAGAGCGTAATTTTGCAGCTAACGGATTAGCCAAATTGGGTTTAAATAGCGAGATGGAGTTTCAAGAGCCTGCGGGCCTCTCCTTGTTTAGTTCAAACTTTTTCGGATGACTAATTTTGCAACATGTTATTAAAGAGCGTAATTTTGCAGCTAACGGATTAGCCAAATTGGGTTTAAATAGCGAGATGGAGTTTCAAGAGCCTGCGGGCCTCTCCTTGTTTAGTTCAAACTTTTTCGGATGACTGCTCTGGAGTTGCTACAACTAGATTAGTTTTTTCTTAGTCTTTCTTTTTCTTCTTCCATGTTACCCAAAAAAAAAAAAAAAGGAAAAAGTAAGAGGGATTGCGGAAATCACATGAAACCCTACGCAATCAGTTTAAAGTTCTACAACAGTCAATGATCGGTTGGGAAGAACTAGTAAAAACTCCAAAGAAGCAAAAATTCAAACCTCATTTTCTCAAAAAATAAAAATCAAAGAAAATTAAACAATTAAAATTGTGGAAACCTCACCTGAAAGGCCTTGGAAATGATATCATCATGAAGTGAAACATGGTTTCTGCAATTACAACAGCTGTACAATCTAGGCCCCACCAAATCCGCCATTAACAAACAAATTCACAGCTCTAAACACCTCTCCCTGCTCGGCAACCAGAGAAAAAAAAGCAAAAGAGAGAAAATTTACACACAGGAGAGTAAAAATCTGTAAAAATTAAAAAATGAAAATATGGATTAGAGAAAGATTATAAATTTAATTACCTGCAACAAGATCAAAATTGACCTAGAAACCTGCAATCAAAGATAAGATTACCAACCGAGTTAGCGTGCAAGATTCCAAGAGTAAAATATATAATTTTAAAAAATTGAAAATTTGAGTTTTGAAAAAGACAGGATTTGCATTTAAGGGTAAGCTGAGAGGATAAAGATTAACAAACCCAGATTTACAAAATGATAATATAAGTGATTAGGAAGGGGGAAGTTGGAGTCTTTGAAGCGAAATTCATGGGATATAATAAAATAAGATAAAAACCCATTAATTAATTGGGTATTAATTTGGGAAGGGATAAGGATCTGACCTGTTTAACCAGTCACTAATTGTGATTAAAAAATGATGAGAGAGTTGGGAAATTGCTTTGTTCTTGACTTGTAGAATTTAATCAATTGATTACTAGCTGTTTAGCACTACAAGCAAAGTCGGGAAATTGAAAGAGAAATTGCATTAAATTCAAAAGGAAAAGAAAAGCACTAACCTTTTAACGGAGGATGTCTGAGAGACTTGAGGGCTGAGGTTCATGGTTGCGTGCAAACTCTATGTAGAGAGAGAGAGAATCTTCTGAAAAATCTACGTTTTCCACAATGTAGCGTACTGTTCTGTGTTTCAGCATACTGAAAGGTCTTTTGCTGTGCTAGTGTAAACAAAGTAGCCCCTAGTTTAATCCAAAGTGTCAACTGCTATACCAGGGGAGCCCCTAGTTTATTCCAAGTGTCAACTGCTATAACAGGGAGGGAGGACTGATATAAAATATAGTCGTCATTATGATAATGATGTCTCAAATTACAAAAATTTTACGGGCGCTTCAAAATTTTTACCGTTAAATTATAGTTATTTGCTTTTGATCGCGGACTTAATGGAAAAAAAAATGAAGGATTTTTTTATGTTCAGAACAATATTATCTTGACATTCTCGTTTATGTAAATTTTATTTGTGTGTTGATAATTTCAACCGGTGTTTTAACTAGTCAACAATATTAACAAGGTACATTTTGCTGGAAATGTTGAAAATCTATGGATAACATGTCATTGGTACATTTTGATGGTAACAACACATTATATTAACGACAAATTGATGATGCTTTAATGTTGAGAACTCTCGATGGAAACCCATTGGTGTTACATTTGAGAGTAACAACACATCTCTTAACGGACAAATTATTTAAGTTTTTTAATCTTAGAGTCTCAACTCTCAATTGTAATATATGTTACATTAACAAATTTCATCTTTGTAGATTCATTACGGTATCCACCCCTTCTAGGGGCCTGGAAGACTCACGGAGGCATTTCAGCTTTCTCCTGGCCACAGTCAAGCAGACTGACCAGTTTGAAGCCTCGAACCCGGGACCTCCCTGTTTTTTGTATTTTGAGAGCCGAAATCCGCACCCTTACCACTGGACCACTTGATGTGGTTGATTAATTTTGATTATTCAATGAACCAAATTCAATAAAAAATAGTGATATAGTGATATGGAACCAAACTAGTTTTTTTTTTTTTTTTTTTTTGGAACTTTTATCTTGGGACCCCGCGATCTTGAAATCCTGGATCCGTCACTGGAACAACCGTTGTTTCATAATACTTATAAGGAAAGTATGAAAGCAAATAACTTTGCCAATGGGGGATTTCATTAACCTTCAAGTCCATATATTACTAACATTAGTTTCTGCTGAACATATGCAGAAAACCAACAAGAAGAAGCACAAATTATCCCCAACCGATCGTAAACCTTCGAAAATCGAATTATTTTAGCCGAAGTTGTAGAGTAAAGGGATCACGACACCGATTCTTGTCAAGCATTATGGGTGATTACTAGTACTGCTTAGAAATCTTTGCTCTCTCGATTATAAATTTTCCTGCTTGTACGTCTGAGTCTGCTCGTAAGCTCGAATGTACTTCCAACCTAAGACCTCGCCGCAGTTGCTGCAATAGATGTCAGCAACTGAGAAAACACCAGTTATGAGTTTCCTGTCCTCCTTTTGTCCCACAATGACGTTCATTGCATGAGAGAACATGTATGCCGGCCCTGATTTTGCCTAAACAACGGAATCCGAACGATAAATTGTAAGTTCTTCCAGGTCATGAAAGTGTTTTATGCAGAAGCACTTCCAACTGCTTTTTCAAGAAGCACTAGAATTTTTAATAAATATTTTCATGTATTTCTATCAAAATCACATCTAGCAAAAAGCTCTCAACCTAAATTGGAGTGAAAATAATAGACTGAAATACATTAACCATGTTTCAGTTTTCACCAGAAATTTCTTGGAGATGAGGTCGTCACGAAGAGCAAGAGGATTATGGCAACTTCTGCAGCTGAAGTAGGGACTGCCGCCGGATTCCGCCATTAAACTGAAAGATTTCGACACCACGTTAAAAACAATCAGATCCGATTCAAAACACAGCCTATATATATATACACACACACACGGAGGATAAAAGTGGAAGAAAAATAATTGAAATCTTCATACGTGGAGGAGTATGAAGAGATTATGCTCCCAAAAATTGAAGAAGCATAAGGAGGGGGCAGATTTGTAGAGTTTGGAGAGTCGACTGGAAATAGTATTTCAGCTGGAAAAAATGGATGAGGGTGATGAAAAAGATAAGGCTGGGTGATGAAAGGTACTAAAAATAATAATATAATTTTGTGGAATAATGGAAATAAAATAATCTATATCGAGATCGAAAATAATATATACTCGACGACAAGTTGGTAAGAATTGTTAAGCGTTTGTTTGGAAGTGTTATTAATATAATTGAAAATGTTTTTTGTGAACAATTATAATCTCAACCAACATAATACAGAATTTGATACTTGTTCATAATCTTAACTGGTGTTTAAACTAGTCAACAATATTAATAAGTTATGTTTTGTTGGAAGTGTTGAAAATGTATCGATGACATATCGAAACATTTTGGGTTTGGATTGGAACAATGATATTATGGATGTAAATTTCCGCCTTCTTCTTAGACGAAAATGCACCTGCAAAACAATCAACATCTAAGATTAAGGTCAAGAGCCTTACGCATCCACGATGAATGGGGGGAGCTTTGGACGAAGAATCTTTGATGCCAAAATTAGAATTTGAGGGAAAAGTGTTTAGAGAATTTTTAGAAGATAATTGAACTTAGGTTTTGGAAGAGATGAGAGACTATATATAAGGGTGTGGCCAGTCCTATTAGGAGATTTAGGACCGGTCACATATGGTTGATTTGTGGGATTGATAGCAAGATATTATGTGAAATAATATCTTGCAATTGATTTGGTAATTAATCAATTAATCCCAATTTGAAAAAAATAATAATTGAGAGTTACCTTGTGGGTGAATATTTGATGAGGAGTGATTAGAGGATTTTAAGAGAATACAATTTTGATCACCTTTGACCTCGATTGGGCTGTTATTGCCCGTTGCATGTGCATGAGAATTCATGTGTGCCTTAAGAATAATTTTATTTTTTTTTACTTAAAAATCCACGTGTCGCCTTTATATATTTTTGATTATTTTTAGCTCCACAGATATGAGTGAGTGAAGCAAAACATCGATCAGAAAAGTAGAAAAGCAAAGAACTTTACCAATGAGTTTTGAGTTTTGTCAACACATATTGATACTGTAAGTATTGTATCAATTGACTATAAGGTTGATGCTATTAATAATTGTGTATCAATGTACTATTAACTTTAAAATGTATCAATATTTTGTTGATAGTGTATCGATATTCTGCCAATATAATTGATATTGTCAATATATAGAAGTCCATCTTATTTTCCAATACAATGTGTACAATCTACACATTGCTGCCCACACGTCTCCAAATTGATAGCTCCACCATTTTGAGCCATATCCCTTTCACTCTAATTAATTTAAAGAGAAAAGTGAGTAATACTTTTTTAACTTTAATATTATTAGAGCAATGATCTTTCAACTAAAAATTTGTGATTATTGGTCTCTTAACTTGTCAAAACATGTAGTTATCGTCATTTTGTTAATTTCGTCAAAATGAGTCACTTGCACGACACATGAGGCTGAATAAAGAGATAAATAAGGAAAACGAAATTATTTCATGAGGGTGGCTTTGCATCAAAATGCAGCTTTGTGCGTCTGATGGTATATTTCCACTATGAAAGAGGGTCATGAGAATCTTCCAATCACATCCCGTTCATCGTACATTGTGGGGCTAATTTTTGTCAAGTATTGTTTATATTCAATTTTAAATAAAAAAATTACAATAATTTTTTACCGTACAATGTTCGATGAACTAATGTGATTTGAGAATTTTCAAAATCCTCACAAAGAGAATCTAACGAGGATGCTCACTCTTCTAGTATGTTTAATAGCCTCCGGGCCTCCTTGTTGCATTTGATCCCATTCCCTCGTGAAATAATATTTTGTTTTCTTTATTTGCCTCCGCATTCAACTTCACGTGTCATACAAGTGATTTATTTTGACGGAAAATTTGATGTAGCTGCGCGTTTTGATGAGTTAAAAGATTAATAATTATAAATTTTTAGTTCAAATATCAATACTTCAATTAAATTAAAATTGATGAACTATTACTACGATTTCCTTTGAATTTAAGTGACAAAAAACGCAATTTGACAATACAATTGGTTGTAACAATTTTTAGGAATTAAAAAAAAAAAACCAAAAAGACAAGTAAAGGGGAATCCAGGAGTAGAAGTAACTCCAACAGGTTTGCCAGCTCCTATTCTTCCTATCTCTCTTCTCTACTGGAAAAACCAGAATCTTTCAACTTCCTTTCTCTCCACTCTCCATATCTCTCGCTGTGGAGCCCACAAACCAAGCTGGTAGTGACGGTTGGCAAGCCTCAAACATGGCGGACGCGTACTGGAGGTACAGCGACGGTCGACAACCGCCGCCCTCGGCGATGAATTCAGTCGTTGGAAAGCGTCCTCGCTCCGATTACGGTATGTTAAATTCCTCAAGGTTCCCCTTTTTGGGGTTTCCTCTCTCCTTTTTGCGTGCGTTTGGGGGTTTATTAAATTAGGGTTCTTGGGGATTTTAGTATCTTCCTGGTTGCCCTGAGAGCAGAATTGTTGAAGTACAAATACAAAATGCAAAAGGTGCGCTAAGAAATGTGAACAAAAAAATGGAGATTTCAGCTGACTTTTAAGTAGTCGAACTAGGTTTTCAATGGGGAATTGAAATTTGGGATCTTTTGATCTATGTTGTATGTGGTTTAATCACCATTTGATGTTTATGTGGATAAGCTTATTAAGCCATCATATTCGGCTTTCAGATGGGGCTTCCATGGTTATTTTTAAGATATAATTGCTTAGATTACATGATAAATTTGCATTCTTGTTAGTTTTCTGTGCTCTATTTAGTGTTATCTACACACATTTTAGTATAAACATTGTTCAAAGCATGCATATGAGAGATAAAATGAGTATTCCTAATCTCATTATGCACATTCGTGAAGATGTTTCGGTCTGTTGTACTGCATCCATGAGGAGGGTAGTCTATATATTTTGGACACCCATTTGTTGGTAATATGACCAGTGTCATATTTGAGCAAGCTGCGTGCTGGCTGGTCCCGGCTCCTAGATCATCTTCGTTATTAGTTAATTTTAAGTTTCATTATCCCTGGAGGCTGTTAATAATTATTCATCCTTAATAAATGCCAGGTTTGATTCAAGGATCAGCCTATGCAATATATTGAGATGAAAGGAAAATTCAAGTGGTTGTGTTAGCATATGCAATATATTGAGATGTTTGGGTACCTCATGGGCATGTAACAACTTAATTACCTGATTATGACTGATGCAGTAGTTAGTGATTATAGCAATTTGATTTTGTTAGGTCGTCAGCAGTTTAACTTAATATTCTCTTGTTTATAGCTTTACTGCCACCTTCTGCGTTTATAATTATTTCAAATATTGTTTTTTTATTTTCTCTTTTGGTATCCTGAAGTACATCCTTCATCCTTTAGACACCCAGGGTGGTCAAGACCTCCCTAACTATTATCCCCATGAAGATGATAGAGGTTCTATGCGAGGAATTAGAGATACCGACTCCATAAATGCGTCGTATGATCGCTACCTGCGCAATGCGGTACTTACATTTCTTTTTCTAGAACTGTCACATTTTTCATCATATGTTTGAAGTTTCGGGGGCTAATGTTACAAGTTATGCTTCAGCAAATGTCATCATATAGCGGGGGACAGTCTGCTAGAAACATGAGTGGAGGACCACCTGGTCGTGCTGTTGAGGATCCACACATGATGGGAATTGGGGGTGTTGACCCTGGGGCACCTGCAAAAGATAGGGTCTTAGGAATGGGAAGTGGACGGCCTGATGCTCCCCTTCCTCCTGGTGCTACCAGTACGCTATTTGTGGAGGGATTGCCTCCCAACTGTACAAGACGTGAAGTAGCTCGTATCCTTAAAATTTTCTAGGGGTTGCAGTTTTATAACCCTTTGTGTCATTACTTGCACTTTACCTTTGTCGAGTTTACCTTCACTTGGTTTTGAAGATATCTTTCGCCCTTTCGTTGGCTACAAGGAAGTGAGACTCGTGAGCAAGGAATCCAGACATGTAAGTTTCTCTTTCCCAAGGGATAAAATTGAATAGTTATTGACTGTTGGATTCTCAAATAATTTATCTGTGCAGCCTGGAGGAGATCCACTGGTACTTTGTTTTGTTGATTTTGTGAGTCCGGCCCATGCAGCAACTGCTATGGATGCATTGCAAGGTAAGTTTACTATTTGTTAAATTTGTTGAAATCATAACACCATAGTTTCTTTGACATTTCTTATGCCATTGTTGGAGAAGTTACATAAAAAAATTTCTTCACCTTGCAAGAAGATGGACTGCCAAATGATTCATGAAAAAGGAAAGAATAAAAAAAACATTTGCATCAATAGTTTGGATTGTTGTTTGGCAGTTCTGTGTAATTAACCAAAAGAAAATAAAGGAAAGGCCACTACGTTATCAAATTTACAATGCAGATAAGATTGTGTTGCTTCAATTCATATGGAAATTTTGTACACAGGATTTGTGAATTTAAACCCCTTTTAACTTCCAAAGCTACCTGACATTTTCAACCACTTAAAAGATTTCCAAACCCATAGTTTTGTTGCTTTTTTTTTTTTTTTCCGTTTAAAGTGAGATAACTTACTATTCAAGGCATGTGACTTCGTTTTTTAAGGAGGTGATTCATGGGGCCACTTTCTATTGGCTTTATGAGGTGAACATAGATTACCGCTGCCCATAGGTCTTGGTTTCACCCCTTACTTTAAACTAGAAGTTGCATGGTCAGCAAAGTCATCCAGTACCAGTATACCACACCAAACTTTGTAAATTGTTCCAAACAATGGAAGGGATTGCCTTCATGGTTCATTTTTTATCCTCCAAGATTCTGCGAATGCCTTGAAACTGGTTGGTTTCTTTGGGACTTGATTTTTCCCATAATTAGTCAAGTAGGACAGCGAGACTGGTGAGAGAAGCCATATAATTTCAGTTTGGCCGCACTTGTAATTCAGTCTAAGAATGCTGCTTGGGACAATGGTGCTCTCGGGATAGTTGTCTCATGTTTTAGCCTATACTTCGTCTTTTGTTTATGAGGAGGTTTATCTAGTGAAACTGTATACTTTATGTCAAGAGAGGAAGTGCGTGAACTTCATTTTTGGAATGAGGGAGACCCTTTTTACCCTTTCTGTCAATCTAGGACATGTGTGGCGAACTCAGGTTTGCTACTTAGGTGTGTTGAGAAATGATAGGTGTTAAATATTTAAGATAAACGGTTTAACGTCTTTATATCATCTATCTGCTGATAGCCTCATTCGGCGTTGAAAACGTACCCAGTTGTTACAGCGTAAATGGTCGAGCTCGATTTTGCAGGTTATAAATTCGATGAGCATGACCGTGACTCAGTCAATTTAAGGTTGCAATTCGCTCGCTATCCTGGTGCGAGGTCAGGTGGTGGGCACCGAGGGAAGCGTTGAATTATGCGGTTTTTCAGGTGATTAACACAATTTTCGATCCGTACAACCGTTTACATTCATGGCCATTAGGTGCCGAGTTGAAACTAAAAAAAATCACGCTAAACCGTCAAACGACTCTTCTCTGTAGGACTTGCTTGATTTGGGAGGTTGTGATAATGAGGGGCGATACAACAAACTTGCAGTTTCGAGAATTAATGGTGCATAGTTAGGACCAACTCGATTGGGTGGTTCCCGATAATTTAAGACTGCTTTTCTGTGTGTAGACAACAGCAGACTTTATTTCCTTTATTTTGATTCGAACTGTTCGGTCTGGTTACCAGTATGATTACATACAGACTATTTCGCCATATGCGATTGCTAGAAAATGTAAACTTATTTGAAGTTAAACGTGTTGAAGTCTCCTTGCATTTGCATATGCTCTGGGATTAGGGTCTAGATTTGATATTGTTCCTTGATGAAGTGTGGTAACTGTTGTAGGTTTCATTTTACTGTACTGAAAGTAACTGCCTTTTGTGGTAACTGTTGTAGGTCTCATTTTATATTGAAAATAACTGGCCTTTTCTTTGTCATTGCTCATTTCCTCTCGAAGATGTCATGAATTTTGTTCGTCATAGATACTAGTATGTGAACTAAAGTATTACTGTGCGGACGCATTCTTGCGTTTGATTTTCGAGTCTTCTGACTGGGTTTGTGTTGAGTTGTAGATGCATCTAATCCTAACATGATTTGATTGTGATCCACTAGAGTCTACCGTAGAATCGAAGAATTAACATGATATCGGAAGATCTGTCTTTGGATTTCACTGACTGTTGGGGAAACTGGCAGCTACTGTAAAGGGGCTGGCTAAGGTTCTTTACTTGTACTGAATTAGGAGCATATTGGGGCTTGATTCTTTTACTAACTTCATACCCTCTTTTCACGGGGCGACGTTCTAATCTAGGGGAGATGTTCTACGGCAGGGGGGGTCGAAGTTGGGTGCATGTCGGTAGAACGCATTCATTTTAGACTAGGCGCACCATGCGGTTGGAAATTAATGGTTTCATATTCTCTGAGAGGTCACATTTTCCTGCATTTGGTCATTCACGTAAACCATAAATGTCATTGCCCTGCCCCCGCAAGGTCCTACCTTCTCGTTAGCTATGAATGTCGATGACAAAGAAAAGACCGACAGCGGTGAACTTTTTCCACGGGTTGTTCAGCCAGCTTAACAAAACATTGAATGGGATAGTAGCCAGCTTAACAGAACATTGAATGGGATGGTTGCGGTGATGGTTATCTTTTTCTGCAGGAAGCCGACTGCAGCGACTGTTCAAGGGGGACTGTCGTGGTAATGGTGTCTTCATCAAGCTTGTCCGCCATGGATACTTTGATATTTTTCCCCACACCAACGTTACAAGTGATGGATTTTGTCCCGAAATATGTGGGATTCACACACCTACGATAGTCCTCGGTCACTCAATATAAGTTGTTAGATCGGATCTAACGGTTAAACGTGTTAAGACAAACGTCCATGGGTACTCGATAAAAATTGCGTACTTAGTTGGGTCGCTGTCTTCTAGAAGTGGAACTGTGGAAGTGGGCTCTTCAGTCAAACTTAATAGCCGGATAGCACCTTTTGAAGTTTGACTTCTTTGTTTGTTTCCAACTTTTGTTTTCCAATAAACCAATAATTGTTAATTGAATGGAAGCAAGATGGTGACTTTTGAAGTTACGCAAGGCATTTGTAAAAACACACTTACAAAATATTACTTTGTTTGAACGTGTTTTATAATAAATCGAAAATTCCTTGAATTTTAAAAGTACTTTGTGATTTTTTTAGGAAGCACTGAAATGATTTTTTAGGATTCATTTGCGTTTCTAATAAGATTGATCTCATAAAAATTTTCATAAAAAATGTTTTCAGTCATTTAAAAAAAAAAGAATTTTCAAATGAGCTTTACGTGATTAATTAAAAGGGTAAAGAACTATGGTTAATTTAAAAAATAAAATAAAAGTTTTATCTTCCAAGGCTTATACGGGGTTGATAATTTTTTTTATTAATTGGTAACAAATATTTAAAAACATTGAACGAAAGACTACAAAGTGGACGCATAAGCGCTTGTGATGATTTATGATTAGATTATTACTTTATTTTTTATTAACATCTTTATATTTTCATTCGTGACCTAACTTGTTTACAATTTAAAAAATTGGTCTTGATTTCCAATTTCCTTCGAAAAGATGTGTGGGGTTGGTTAACTACTTGGCTTATTAGTTGACTTTGCTTTACGCAGATAAGTGTGCCGTTTTATTGACCATGCCAGTTGTACATAGTCCAAATGGAATATGAAATTAATAACCAATCAATTAATCTCATTCTATTAAAATTGAACTAAATTTAAATTAAAAAAATAATAATCCACAGAAAACTATTGCTTGTGAGATCGAATGTAATTTAATCAAATTGTAATGTTTGTTTGTAGTTCAGTTGGTTGAAAATATTTTTCCTTACTGTCGAAACCGAAATTTGAATTACCCATCTTTGTATAAGAAAAAAAAGGAAGTGAATTAAAAGAAATATCCTTGTCTCCATCTTACTATGTACTTAAAGCCAACAGGATCCTCTTTGGATCTTTTGGTGAGGATTATGAGGATCTGTGAATCGTGTCCGTTCATCGTACATCATACGGTAAGTTTTTGTCAAGGATTTGACGGACTTAGGACTCTCACATCCAAATATTTCTTTTCTTTCTTGTTTTTCTTGTTTTTCCAAAAATCCTTTTAGTTTGGCGGACTTAGGACTCTCACATCCAATTCGAATCTCTCTCTCTCTTAAATTCCTATGCCTACGAAAATTCCTCTTGTACCGTTGTATCTTATCCACTAGAATCTTTTTTTTTTTTATCGTTAGATTTTGATCTTTTGATTTTTTGTAAAGGATTTGACGGTCATAATGCACCGTGTTTACAATATCCCGGACTGATAGAAGATCCCGGGGTACATAGAAAGGGTGCAATATACAGTGTAGTAATTGAATATGAATACTTGAAAGACTAGGATATCCTCCTCCGTTAGGATTCTAAGCATCCAAACCAACCCTAGCTACTCTCCTAGTCCTACTCAGCACTCTCTCTTCTTATATTATATATATATATATATACACATCAAAATATTCAATACTCCATGTTCAACCTAGCCCTCTCTTCCTCTCTGCGTTGTGTGATTTTACACGCACTTCACGGAGCCGACTGTACAACTATCTATATCTATATGCACACACATATATATTGAATATATATTTCACACATTTGCTTGTTTTTCCACTAGGAACGGCTGCAAGTTGTGTTCATGGCTGAGATAGACGCTGCTAAAGTTAATGCCTCTGCGGCGGAGGAGGAGGAAGTTAACGACTGCTCCATCAAGCAGGTTGACTTGACGGTGCCAAAAACCGATGACCCCACCATTCCGGTGCTCACATTCAGAATGTGGGTTCTTGGTTTGTCTTCATGCATCTTGCTCTCCTTTGTCAACCAGTTCTTCTGGTACAGGAAAAACCCTTGTCCATCAGTTCGATTTGTGCCCAGATTGCTGTCGTGCCCATCGGGCATCTCATGGCAAGGACGCTGCCTACGTCCCCTTTTTTCAAGGGGACGTGGTTCGAGTTCACCATGAATCCGGGGCCTTTTAATATCAAGGAACATGTTTTGATCACCATATTTGCAAACTCGGGCGCTGGAAGCGTTTACGCTACTCATATCTTGTCTGCTGTGAAGCTCTTGTATAAGAGGAAGCTCACTTTTATTCCTGCCCTGCTTGTTATGTTCACCACTCAGGTTTTCTTATTTCTCCTTCTTCTTTGGATTTCGATTGCTTTTGTGTTAATGGAATTGCATTTGGTTTTATAGCAGATTATGCCTATTTCGTAGCAATATTTGCATATGCTTTTCGTTTCTCTGACAAATATGTTTATAATGTTCAGTATTGTTTATATATCAAAATCTATCAAATCTGCTGAATTTTTGTAACAATAATAACACAATGAACTGTTTGTTTCATACCGAAATTACTAATCGGGTGTCTGACCCTGTAGTTTCTGTTGATCTTGTTTGAATTTAGGTGTTAGGGTTTGGCTGGGCTGGAATTTTCCGAAGAATTCTGGTTGATCCAGAACAAATGTGGTGGCCTTCTAATCTGGTTCAGGTTTCACTCTTCAGGTAAACATATCTTTGGTTCAGTAATAATCACTCAGTCATTGATTTCATAGCCTGTTTAGCAAGTACTCATAGTAGTAAGTCTTTACTGCTGCAGAGCTCTGCATGAGAAGGACAAAAGGCCGAAAGGTGGAATGACTCGTTCCCAATTCTTCCTTATAGTGATGATCTGCAGTTTCTGTTACTATGTCTTTCCTGGCTATCTGGTTTACATCATAACATCTTTCTCTTGGGTATGTTGGCTTGCTCCTAAGTCTATTCTTGTCCAACAACTGGGTTCTGGCTTGTCTGGCCTCGGTATTGGTTCTTTTGCGATTGACTGGGCAGCTATTTCATCATATCTTGGTACCCCGCTAGCTAGCCCATGGTTTGCCACTGCCAATATTGCCATTGGGTTTTTTCTTGTCATGTATGTGATGACACCCATCACGTACTTTTTTGATGTCTACAATGCCAAGAAGTTCCCAATATATTCTAGTGACCTTTTCACGTCTAATGGTACCACGTATGATGTTCTGAGCATCATTGATTCCAAGTTTGAACTTGACCGTCCTACGTATGCAAAGTCCGGACCTGTAAATTTAAGCACCTTCTTCGCTATGACTTATGGTCTCGGGTTTGCCACGCTTCCTGCTACGCTTGTGCATGTTCTACTCTTTAATGCAAGGTAATTTACGTTTGAATCGTTGAACGTTTTCACAAAATATAAGCATAAGTTAAACAGAGATCTGCTGCTTGTGAATTGAAGCTGAATTTCATCATACCTTCATTGCAGGGACATTGGAAATGCATTTCGACGACAAAAGAAGTTGGATATCCATGCAAGGCTTATGAAAAAGTACAAATCAGTGCCAACATGGTGGTTTCTCGGCATCCTTGTGGTAAACATTGCTCTTATCCTCTTTGCTTGCCAGTATTACAACGAGTCTCTTCAATTGCCTTGGTGGGGTGTTCTGCTTGCTTGTGCCATTGCCATTTTGTACACAGTTCCAATTGGTATCATCACAGCCACAACAAACCAGGTAACGAAATTAGAACTTTTGTTTATAAGCTAATGCTGTTTGCTGCAAGTTTACAACCGCTTGTTCAAGTTCATGATAGATAAAGGTTTCTGAAACATTTTTCCGTTCTTTTTTCGTGGTAACAGCAACCGGGTTTGAATATTATCACGGAATATGTGATCGGGTACTTGTACCCGGAGCACCCTGTAGCGAATATGTGCTTCAAAGTGTATGGCTACATCAGTATGACTCAAGCTTTAACTTTCCTGGCTGATTTTAAGCTTGGTCACTACATGAAGATTCCACCAAGATCAATGTTCATAGCACAGGTCAGTCAGTTTCGTTTTTTCGGATTTATCAATCTGCATTACGTTTTTGGTTTGAGATCTTCAGAAGCTAACCTCGTGGAATTACAGGTGGTAGGAACGACTGTAGCAGTGATTGTATACCTGGTAACAGCATGGTGGCTGATGGGTGACATTCCAAACCTTTGTGATACCTCCAAGCTGCCAAAGGATAGCCAGTGGACTTGTCCAATGGACCGTGTGTTCTTTGATGCATCAGTTATCTGGGGGCTCGTTGGCCCTCGAAGAATCTTTGGAAACCTCGGTGAATACATGAACGTCAATTGGTTCTTCTTTGGTGGGGCCATTGCCCCTGTGCTTGTCAAGCTTGCACACATGGCTTTCCCCCAACATAATTGGATTCGTCTCATCAACATGCCGGTCTTGCTGGGTGCCACATCCATGATGCCCCCGGCTAGTGCTGTAAACTTTACCAGTTGGATCATTGTTGCATTTCTTTTCGGGTATGTTGTCTACAGGTACAGGCCAGACGTGTGGTCGCGCTATAACTATGTCCTTTCTGGTGGTCTTGATGCCGGAACTGCCTTTGTTACCATATTGATGTTCATTACGCTGCAGAACCGGGGAATTGAACTTAAATGGTGGGGGAACAATGGTGAGGGCTGCCCGTTGGCTACTTGCCCTACTGCTAAAGGGATTGTAGTTGATGGCTGCCCAGTTCACTGACATTAAACTTCATATTTTCAGAAGTAGCATCTTTATTTCTTTCGATGATCTGTAAATATTTTATCAGGGATTCGTTTCTAGTTTTTTCGTTTTATTTCGATATGATATCCATGTTGAAGAACATTTCTATTCTGATTGCAATAGTTCAGATAACTATTTCTCTAGCGTTTGCAGATGACCTCTGTTTTGATTCCCTTTTATTTCTAACATAAGAATTGAAAACCGAAAACTAAAAACGAATAGTTATCAAATGGGTCATAGATTTTAAGAAAAATAAAAAAAACACGAACAGACTTCCATATCCAATCTAAAAAATCAGAATCCGACGTTCTGCAGAATTCAATAAATATATGATACACAAATCAATCAAAAATAAGAAGATTGTTTGCCAAGCACACCTAATTGAGCAAGAACTTTGGCAGCCAGAGATTTCATCTCACTATTTTTATTCTGAGTAATATCCACTAATGCCATATGTGCTGAAGTTCCATACTTTAGATTCAACTCGTTCACCCGAAAGATCATTTCCAAAGCCTTGAGAGACTTTCCTTGCAAACTGGGCACTTGTGAACTCAGTAATTTTATAATCGGCGCAATGGCTTTCACTTCATCGAGCACTTTGCCACCATGCTCTATTCCTTGGTCATCAAGCAATGTCAAAAGTGCATCGAGAGAAGCTTCACAAGCTCCGAAATCTTCCTCACCAAGCAATTTCACAAGGGGTTCCACAGCATTGGCCTTTACTATGCAGAATGAAGATTCCACTGTACAGATACCTTGGTGTGCAGGGCAGCCAAGTGCCGGTGCAGAGAAGCAGCACAGGAAAACCGCACGCTTCTTGATCGGCTTGCTCAAGCCTTTGGAGCTTTCTGATAGCTGGTTAAGTGAAATGGCGGCGTATTGTTTTGTCAAAGAAGTTCCAGAAGTTAGTAGCTGCACCAGCACTGGTATAATACCAGCTTCAGCTATTTTTCTCTGCCATTCCTGATTTGTCGAAACTGTGAAATGACAAAGAGCTCCAACAGCACTCTCTGTTACCCGCCTTCTATACAAGGCATCTCTGTTCCCATCAATTAGACAATTGCAGATAATTTCAACGGCCTCAGCATCTACAAGCCACTGCGCCATCTGAGCGTCCTTTGGAAGATTAGCAATGATCCCCATTGCAGCAGCTATCTCCTCCACATCATTAGAACTTTTTATAATCCTTAGCAAGGTCTTGACGCACCTTTGATTTACATGCTCCAAGAATGTGCTGTCATCACCGTCTTCTGTCAAGGAAAAGAACAGATTCAAGGCATTTGCCCTCACGGTAGGGCTATCAGCTTCGCATAATTGAACCAATACTTGGACAGCAGAGAGCTGTGAATCACATGAAACATCATAGTGGCTATTAGCATGTACAGAATCACATGCCAAAAGAACAAAAAATGCGCGAGAAGTAATTGTGTTACCTGTCTCAACTTTAGTCTGATGTCAAAACCAGAAGAAGATTGGCACAGTGCATGGAAGGTTTTGAGAATGTTTATTTGTATGTCAGGTCCTGTTAAAGATATTAGAGAAAAGAGCTTGAAGATTTCTTCTTCAGAGCCTAACAATGATACCTGCTCCTGTGCAGCTTCATGTGAGGTGGTTGATGTGGCAAGGTGCATAATTGTCTCAGCTACCTGCTCGCGCAAGGTTGGCGATAATAAGCTGTGAGAATACAAAAGTTCAAATAGCGGTCCAGCTGCACCTTCTCTAATCATCTGCAGGCCGTTTTGTGGTAAGTTGGAGAGGTGAAGAAGAGCCTTGACACCAAATCTCCTCTTTTCAATATCACCTTGCGAAAGCAGTTCAAGAAGCTGTCCTAGTGCCCCGTCTTTTACAATGGACAGTTTGTTGTGGTCTGTCAGTTCAATTTCCGACAAAGTTCTAGCCATAAGCATTTTAACATCTTCCACTCCTGCATCAAATTTAAGTCGTCACATTACACAACTTTGTAACATTCTCCAAACTATCACAAAACCCCACTCTTAAGCATACCTGAAGAAAGAAGCTTCAACAAAGGTTTAAAATAGTTTGCTTTCGCCATCTGTATAATGTTCTGATCAACGAAAGACAGATTTTCTAGGAGCTCGTTTACATCTCGGATGACTTGACTATCTTCACTGCTTAACATTGTTACTAGGAGAAGTATGCAGCCCTGAACATTTCCCATTAAATCGCGTGCAGCCCTAGTTGTAGATAGTACCAGTAACAACCGCAATGCCAACTTGCTTTCTTCATTTCGACGTGCAAGCGAGTGGACAATAGATTCGAGTGCATTATCCACTTTTATGATTCTCCCCTGTTAAAAACATAATGAACTGGATCATATATACGAAATTTGGGAATGCCAATTATTGCCTCTACCAAAAAACTATTACGCATGTATCCTCAAATACAACATGACAATTAGAAGGTACCTTATTTTCTTCACCATCTTTTGCAAGGATCAATACGATGGCAAGAGCACGCTTTCTTATTTCTCGACTTTTCGAACCAAGAAGTCTAATGAGGACAGGAATATAGCCCTCAATTGTCACCCATTCACGGTGCAATTCCCTTTCCATGTATATGTTCTGCAGGTTGTCTAAGGATTGAAGCACTTCTTGCTCCTGCTCTTCATTTGACTGGAGTTTCTGTTTGATAGAGACGATTGTAAAGATGGTATTCCTTTCCTTCCATTCTTCAATTGATCGTTTTAGTGCTTTGTTGGGCTGTAGAACTGAAGTGTCCAAGGGAATATCGGTCACAGGACAGTTGGTGTTACCTTCTGCAAACCACTTCTCTATCTCGCTTCTCTCAAACGTGTGACGAGAGGAGGTTTCCACGGGATCCTCCATGATATCATGACTCAATGGACATTCAAATTTCTGAAGAGGTTCCAATGGTTGCTTACCTAAAGAATTTCTCTTTTCAAAATACTCCTTCTCTTTGTCACCAGCAGATGTAGTAGCATTAGCCTTCTCAAGCAAAGCAATCATCTGTTCCATCGGCAAATCTTCTTCCAGGTCTTTTCTATTCGTATCATCCAATTCACGTTTGAACTCCCCGAGTTCATTTTCCAATGCAGACTGATCATCGGAGATCCCAAGAGCCTCAGCAATTTGAACAAGCAAGTTCTTCGCGCAGGACGGATCAGCATTCTGTTCTTGTATTCCTAGCTCAAGTTTGCCCACAATCTCTTCCTCAGTTACAGCCGCTCGATACTCAGCATCCAGCATATTCTTGCACAGCTTGCTAATCTGACTACTTATACCGGATGAAACATCCAACGACGCCAATGGGATTAGACCAAGCGCTCTACCAATCTCTTTTGTGCTTCTCTCTAGGGCCTTGACAATATTCCGGCAATTGATTAAGAGATACACCTTGTTTCTTTTGCTGCAATCTAGAGCTAGCTGCTTCGCGACTTCACCCTCTCGATTCAGAATCTTCAAAGCATTAGCCAAGCTTTCGGAACACTCAATGTTTTGCTTTGACAACTCTTTCAGAATAGAAGAGGTCAGCTCCAAGTACATTGACAATACTTTGAAATTATCTTTCTGAACGAGGACCTCCTTTGCTACATGTACAGTATCAAAGAGTAATTCAGACACCTGAAAGAATGAGGCACTGATAACACTACCATTCGCCATTTCTTAGTGCTCGAAAAATCTATGGATATAGACCCTCAGTTCTGTCTGAACCAAAGTTCAACCGCGAAAGATAAGAAGCCGCCCCTTGCTGGAAAATGCAAGCCTGCAGCTGAAAAACAACATCGGGAAAATATCGGTTCTCTTTCCAACTGCAAATTACATAGAGTTGACCGAAAGGAGCACTAGTGCAAAGCGAGTCCAATTTTGGAATTCAAGGACGAAAGCGAAAAGCTAAAAACTAAAAACGAAAGCTAAAAGCTAAAATAACCCTACCAAGAAAAGCGAAAGCTAAAAGCTAAAAACTAAAAACGAAATGGTAATCAATGGAAACAGATTCTCATATTTTAGTTTCATCAATTTATCATCCTAAGTTGTTTCATGGAAAACATCTTATGAACTCCAATTAATCACATAATCACATTCAAGTTCAACAAACAAGTGAAATAAATATATAATGAATTTAAACTAAGTTAATTGATCATGCATGCTATGTATTATGCTCTAATAATTACAAGGGAAAAATCCTACGCTTTATGCAGAATTCCATTTCTTTTCTGTTTCCCTCACTTTCTCAGCAACCAAACAGAAATATATAACATTGGGTTCTTAATCAGAGAGAGAGAGAGAGAGAGAGAGAGAAGTTGACCCGACATTAGAAGTCAACAAATATCTTCACCAAGCATGCAAGTTTCAGCGAAAACCCAAAAACCACAATGCTTTCGAACTTGAGCTTCTTCTGTTCAGAAGCACTCTCTTTCACTTTCATGGAGTCTTTCTCCGAGTCCAGAAAACGAAAGAATAACTTGCTTAACCGGGTAGAATTCTTTTATTTTTGTGTTTTTTCCAAGCAGCCTACGTCGAGCGGGACATGGTAACTGACGACCGAGTCAACGCTGTTCGTTGTTCATATGCTCTGCGGGGGACCATGCTGCGAGACAGCCATGCAGATTTTGCCACGTCATCGTAACTTCACCGTCCTGCCTACGTTGCGGATTTGGGTCTCGCGGTGTAAGCAAACGCGGTTGGCTTGTAGTCCATTGGATTGCGCGTCTATACTACTATACTATCTTTTTTTGCCGGCTAGGCAAGTTTAAAAGCTATTTTTTAATGTTCAAATGCTTATGAGTTGATCGGAGTTGTGGCCAACCGTTTAGAGCTTAAGCGGAGCGGCGTTAGACAGAAATTTTTAGAACAGTGATGGATGTAAAGGCATGAGAATATCTTGTGTCTGTCTTAGGCAAATTAAGGACATGACATGAAAACCTACTAAAAAATCTCTCACAAGAATCTAAGAATGGGTCAATCAACAATACTATAACAATTTAGTGACATTTTTATTTTATTTGTGAGTGAGATTTCTTGAGTTCGATATCTGAAAATGTCTGAGTTCAATACTAAATTTATGAACAGCTCGTAGTATGACTCACAAATGTCCACCCTAATATCAAGAAAAAAAATGGGTCGATCCGATGTGTTCAAAACGGATCGCAGTAACGGCTCGATAAGTCTTATACCCATCCGGGATGCCCAACCTGTCCAAAAATCCAAGCCCCATAATATTGGGCTAGTTTAAAGTCTTTGCAGTAAGCCCAATTATATTTGGGCAGCCTTATATTGTAGCCCAGACCCGACATATTTGAGTCCGTAGCCGGTTCACAACCCAAGAACAAAAAAAAAAAAATATATATATATATAATATCCACATATCCTATTTTACTTCTCACACACTGTTTAAATTTTCGACCGTCGGATTGGATGAATTAAAAAAGATCAACGAACATAAATGATCAAAGGGTGTGTGAAAAGCAAAATGGGGTGTGTGGATAGCACACCCGATTAATGGTGGTGCATTTGTCCACTTTCTCTCTCAGACCCGGGTTCTCTGCCCTCCTAGTTCCCATACACTCCCATCATTTCCTATTTGTGCGGCCACAATTAAGTCACATCATTATTTTATATTGATTTTTTTTATAGAGATAATAAGACAAAAAACAATAGTGATATAAAATGTTGACGTGACTTAACCGTGATCGCACAAATAGAAGATGATGAAAGTGTATGGGAACTGGGAAGGCAAAGAAGCCAAGTCCCTCTCTTTCTCCTTCCCAGGCCTTTTATGTAAAGGAAAAAATGGGGATTAGGTGTAGGGCTCACCTCACATTAAACTTCAACGATCTGAATCGATTATTTTGTAAGTTTTGATTCATAGATCATTTTTGCAAAATTTAATTCAATCCGAAACTATTTACCCTTTTAATTATCAAGATAAAATTTCATTATTTCTTTGAACCTAATAAAAAATATTTCTTTGAACCTAATTAGATGTCTTAAATATTTTTTTAAACCTAATTAGATTCATTATTTCTTTGAACCTAATTAGATGTCTTAAATATTTTTTATTTGGTTTAAGACATCTAACAGATTCATTATTTTTTTGAACCTAATTAGATGTCTTAAATATTTTTTATTTGGTTAATATTTTACAAAAATAATCTATAAAGTACAACTTAAAAAATAAACAGTTTGGATTTTAAAATCCCATGAGCCCACAACTAATCCCCACTTCTATATAATAAAAAAAAGGATCCCCTCCTTAAACATTTCCTCTCCTTCCTCTGTAAAAAGTGGATTTGAGATGCGGGTGTGGTTTTTGAGGTCTAGGGTTTGAGATCTTGGAGGGTGGAAAAGCGACACTGAATCATTAGGCCATGGAAGAAGCAACTCCCACTGTGTTTTACGAGACACGGCGTCATATTACGAGGCCATACACTCCCAATTATCCTCCTCAACAGGTTCTTAATTCTCTTTTAATTTTCTTTAATTTCATGTTAATCGACTCCATGTTTGCTTAATCACCCAACTAATCAAGTTCTTGAATTGTTTCGATGAATTCGCGGAGTTTAGGGAAATAATGGTAGCAGAGGGAGCTTTCGATCATTGCTTTCCCTTCCAGGTTCACTCTTTTATTTTTATTTTTTTAATCTCCATATTTAATTTTTATTTGTTTTTTGGATGAATTATGGTGTTTGAAAGGTTGATTAATTTGCTGGAACGCGAATTGATTAAATTTGTGTTTCCTCTTGATCCATGAAGGTGTGAGCCAGCTCAGAGAGAAATGGAGCGAATACAAGCAGCCAAGAAAGTTGAGAAAACTGGCATCTTTGTTTATTTCTCCGAGAGGCGAGCGCGTGGCTGTGGCTTCTGGAAATCAGATAACTATTTTACAGAAGGAGGACGAATACTCGAAGCCTTGCGGCACTTTTACATGTAATATAAGTTGTATTTTGCTGATTTTGTTAACCTTATATTTTTGGAATCATCAGCTTATCAGTATTAGGCGGGCATTGAATTTTTAATATGATATGCTGTTTTTTGTTTTCAAAGAATATGATAGGCGGGCATTATAAATTTGATTCCCTGCAAAGTTGAGGACTTTACTCATAAACTTGATTCCCTGCATTATATTTGGTTGCTATGCCCTTTTTCCAATGTACCCTGTAATGGTCAGCTGATATGTACGTTCATTGTGAATTAGCCATGTCGGTCACAGTGTAATTTCATTGTAGACCATGGGACCTCTAGCCATGGTAGTCCACTGTATACAGTGATTCCGAATTAGGACCAAAGACAATTAATTACGAAACAGGTCTTTTCAGAAAATTATGACAAGAGTTTGTAGAATCACCCATCTTACTAAGGGCCAATGAGATTTGAAGTTGGTATAATTTTGTGGATGCACATAATGTGTCGATTCCTATTGATTCTTCATTGTGACGTATTGGATATGTATGCTGTAGAAATTTGAATTTTCCCTTTTTATTTTTTCTTTGTTAGATCCAAATTTGTATGTTACACTAGTTCTGTTTTTTTGTTAAGATAGTCTCTAATGAATCTAATCTCTGCTCTATCCATCAGGTGGAAGCCTTACTTCATTTACAATAGGAACTTGGTCTGAAGGTCATGATGTTATTGGTGTTGTTGATGACAATGATACACTATATTTTATCAAAGCAAATGGTGACGAGATAACAAGGATTGCAAGGAGGAATTTGAAAGTATCTTTACCAGTAATTAGCCTGATTGTGCAGGACGATTGTGATGTACAGAAATCTTGTCTGTGAGTACTTTTTTTTTTTTTTTTATTTAATTTTCGGCCCGTAGCCCGTGCAAAAATGACGCATACAAGAACATGTCTTGATTTTCTGGTTTGAGGTTCACTTTTTTTGTTGTTTTTTGGAAAAGTTTGATGTTCACTTGTTGAAGTTAATGAAATGTTTTCAGGTGTAGCTTTATTGTGGTTACCTCTGATGGTTCTCTTCAGCATATTGAGATTAGTCAGGATCCAAGTTCCTCAATATATTCTGCCCACACCTCACATAATGGGTTAACTGCGAAGGGGCAGCTCTCTTGCAATGTTATCTGTGTTGACTACCACCCAGAGCTTTCTTTGCTTGCTGGTGTCATACTAAACTCAGGTTGCAACTCTGTCATGATTCTTACTTCTACTTTCCATTTAGCATATACATGGTTATACATGAAGTATTCATTTATGCAGGCCCTTATGTGGTTAATATCATTTCTTGCATATGTAGATGGGACGTTTTAGATTAGAATCTTAAACAAATATACTGCATTAGTTTTGCATGAATCTGGATGATCGGGTAACTTTTGTTGATGGCCTTATTGTTAATGGTAACTCTTTTGTTTTTTGAAGAATGGAAGAACACTTTAGATGTTGTTGTTGGTTGAATATTTGCATATCATGCATCTTCTTTCTTTTGCTATGACTTTCAGAGTTGGTTGCTAGCCACTGTGTTCATTGGCTATAAAGAACTTTTTTTGTTGCTTTGGGACTTCAATCTGAGTTTATTTCATATGCCAAAAAGATATTGACATTATATTATCAATTACTTTATAGAAAACAATTGAAAATGATGTAATATATGAGCTACATTACTTATTAATTAAATATTTATGTTCTTCCAGGATCTTGTTATCTTTCTCTTTGGCGTAGAAGTAGGACGATTAATCTGGACCAGCTTGTTACCATTCAATTTCAGGGTTTTTATTCGAAACCAAAAGGAAGTCAGCTAGTATATCCAAAGGTGCTAATCTCTCCACAAGCCAAATTTGTTGCTACTTTAGATGTCACAGGATGCTTGCACGTATTTAAGCTGGATAAAGAATCCTTTTCACTTTCCAATTTTACATGCAGAGAGAGATGCGAGTCACAAGTGACTAATAATTTGTCAAGTGGAGAGGGGGAATATTTAAGTGACGTTGTGGATTTTACTTGGTGGTCTGACCACATCCTTACTTTTGCAAAAAGGTGCGGCGTTGTTACCATGCTTGACATCCTTAGTGACTTGAAAGTTCAGGAAAATGAAACCGTATATTCCTAAGCCGGTTATAGACCGAATAAATATGTTTCAAGGAAACCTATTTCTTTTGGAGACGGTGTCATCTGAAGAGAGATCTGACTCTAAGGAACGTAATGATTCACATAATATGGAGCATATTGTAGTGGACAGCCTTGACCATATTGACATTTCTTCGTTGAACTGGAGCCTTGTATCATTTTCTGAAAGATCTATCATGGAGATGTATAATATTTTGATTAGAAATGAAAAGTATCAAGCTGCCTTGGAATTTGCTGATTGTCATGGGTTGGATAAAGATGAAGCTGTAAAGTCACAGTGGTTGCAGTCAAGCCAAGGACCAAAGGAAATAAGTACCTATTTATCAAAAATTAAGGACAAAACTTTTGTACTCTTCGAATGTGTTGACAAAGTTGGACCTACAGAAGATGCTGCGAGGGCCTTACTTGCATATGGGCTGAACCTAACTAACCAGTATGGGTTTTCTGAATCAGAAA